CCAAAACATCAGTGTGTTATCAACATTATTCTCATCCTAAATCCAAAACACAGCACTCTACTAGCTACTAAGAAGAAAACTAACTCTATCCCAGCTGAAACCAGGACAGTATGCCTACACGCTGCAGCGTCAAGAGGTAGGGCTGAGTCTATTTAAGCTAATAGATTTATGTGAGAAAAGGCAATAAAAGGCAGAATGGGAGAAGGCTGCAAGAATTACAATGTTCTATGAGGGATCTGTCCTTGATTTTTAGAATCAAAGACTGCGTGTGATTTGAGGGAGCTGTGCCATTTGTTAGTACCAGCCGGTGAGTCTGGGAGTCAGCAGTTGTGTGTTGGTGACTATCTGACTGCCTGAATGTGATGCTTAGGAGATTTATGCAGAGTTTGATCTTCCTTAAAGCATGTGTCATCCCCCTGCAGCTATTAGCTTTTGGTGAACTGCTTGGGTTCTGTTAACTCTCCTCTTTTTCTTTTTTCCCTCCATCCAGTGGTTTTTAATTGGCAACACATCGTACAAAGTCAGTGCTGCCAGTTCTTTCTACTTCAGTGGTGTGTTTGTTGGAGCAATCTCCTTTGGCCAGTTGTCAGATCGCTTTGGGAGGAAGAAAGTCTATCTCACAGGTAACCTCTGCCACCTAACACCTCTACTTCATTTTGTTGTGTCTCTGAAGATCAGTGACAAGAGCCTAGTTTCTGCTGGCAGCTTGATACACAGCAGTGAATAACGTGCTGTGATTTTGTGTTTGTCCTTCCAGTATACTTCAAGAATATAAGTAGGGGCAAGAAATTAATATTTGACTGTTCAATGAAGGTATTCTGGATTTAGGAATCATACCGTAAGGGCTTACGCTCATGCATGTCATGCTCATGGGATCTCCACAGGTTGCAGTTAATACATTCTAGTAATTTGTTAGCAATGTTCTTGCATGTATAACCTGCTAGGAATTTGTTGCACCTTTTATCTCCAGTCTGCATGATTTCATTTTTATGTGTTTGTGATCCTTATTGTGTTTTAAAGCTCATGGGGTTTTTTACTGTCCCCAGATCAAACAACGTTTGGATCTTATGTTTTGTGTATGTATTTATAAAGTTGTGTCAATGGATGAGCGTGTAGAATTAAAAAAATGAATTATTTTTTTAAAGGAACAACCTCACTCAAAGCAGATAAAGGTGGGCCTGCTATGCAGTGCAAACTCCCCATGTGCTGTCCCCAGTAACATTTTTCTAGTTTGTATGGACTACTTTCCAAGAATGAGGGGAGATATTTGGTCATATATTTAATCTGTGGCTTCTGTATGGGGTTAAATATCAAGCCATCTTAACTGGAGCCAGACAGCAGTTATGAATATGTGAAAAAATTGTCTGCTGTGAAAGGAATTTGAAAGTTTAGTACTGCAAATTGTGTGTCAGAAACCACTCCTTTTGTGTGTGTCGTCCCCCCCCCCCCCCCTTATGATAGTGACTTTAGGTACTTAAATTTCTGCCCAAACTGTGGTATGTAGCAGTGTTCTAGTTGTTGACTGTGATTACTTAAGACAGATGCCACTGAACATCAAGTAAAGATACTGATAAATGCTTTTGTTTTTCTTTAGGTACTCTTCTGAAATTAAACCTTTTGCCTTGTTTTCCAGGTTTTGCCCTGGACATCTTGTTTGCCATTGCAAATGGATTCTCACCCTCATATGAGTTCTTTGCCATCTCTCGCTTCTTGGTAGGGATGATGAATGGTGGGATGTCACTGGTGGCCTTTGTTCTACTGAATGAGTGTGTGGGTACTGCCTACTGGGCATTAGCAGGTAAAGTTTAAGTGTCAGTGTCTTTATTGTCAGAATTTATAGATTTCAGTCTCACACACAACTTGAGAGACACCAAAGATAACACCGTAGCAGCTGCAAATTTAACTCTGCTTGAGGATCTTTGTGACCATGGTCTTTGAGCCCTGCTTTGTTTAATATGAATCTTAGACAAGCACCGTAGATGACTTGGGGCCATTCAGATTGCTGCATCACTCAAGTTGACAAAGGTCCAGTTGAAACATCCCCAGCAAATGTTACACAGCCAAATACTCATCCAAGGTTTGTGATAGCTGAGCTCTATCCATCAGAATTTTGGACTCTGTTAAACAGAGCTTAGTGTTTGTACGCTAAATAGCAATTCTTTTATTCCTGGCAGTTCTCAAAAAGAAATCAGAAGTGTTTTTATAGAATCATAGAATCATAGAATGGTTTAGGTTGGAAAAGACCTTCAAGATAAGTCCAACTGTTAACCCAGCACTTCCAAGTCCACCACTAAACCATGTCCCTAAGCGCCACATCTACATGTCTCTTAAATACCTCCAGGGATGGGGACCCCACCACTTTCCTGGGCAGCCTGTTCCTGTGCCTGACTAACCTGGCAGTGAAGAAATTTTTCCTAGTATCCAACCTAAACCTGCCTTGGTGCAACTTGAGGCCGTTTCCTCTTGTCCCATCGCTTGTTACTTGGGAGAAGAGACTGACCCCTACCCTGCTACAACCTCCTTTCAGGCAGTTGTAGAGTGATGAGGTGTCCCCTCAGCCTCCTTTTCTCCAGGCTAAACAATCCCAGCTCCCTCAGCTGCTCCTCCTAAGACTTGTGCTCTAGACCCTTCACCAGCTTTGTTGCCCTTCTTTGGATACACTCCAGCACCTCCATGTCCTTCTTGTAGTGAGGGGCCCAAAACTGAACACAGGATTTGAGATGTGGCCTCACCAGTGCTGAGTACAGGGGGACGATCACTTCCCTGGTCCTGCTGGCCACACTATTCCTGATACAAGCCAGGATGCTGTTGGCTGCCTTGGCCACCTGGGCACACTGCTGGGAATATAATGGGAAGATGAGACAACTATTGTTTATATGTAAAAAAAAAAGTTGTCCCATGTGGTGATCAACCTTATAACTTAGAACAAAAGACACAGACACCCTTAACTGTCTCGGTTGCTAGTGTTGAAGCTGTCCTTCAGATATGCGTATAAATTGTACTGTTACAGCTCTGGGGCCTGACTTACCCAGCCTGTGACAAGTGCCAAAAGTGCTGTGCTGATCCTGTTTCAAAACAGGAGATCTTAAAAATGATGAGAGCTACAAATGAATACTATGTATTCCTAAGAATACCAGTTTTCCAATGGTTTGTAGTATTTATTTTTACACATAGAAAGCTGAAGCATACTTACATTTGGAATTACAAGACTTGATTGTTCATGGGCCTTTGGGTGAGGAGGATGTAGAATGGTGCTTTTTGGACTTGTATTGATCTTTGCGATTAGCTATAATACTTCTGCCCTGCATGGGTGAAGGACAGAATGTTCTTTGGTCAAATAGCTGTGGTTTTGCCTATTTTATTGAGTAGATTTTTCTTAATGAATTGTTAGTTTCTGTCTGATCCCATGTGTTGGGAGTTAATAATGTTCCTTAAAGGAGTGATAATGTTTTGGTTTTAATTGTATTTTAGGGTCTATTGGTGGCTTGTTCTTTGCTGTGGGAATTGCCCAGTATGCTTTATTAGGCTACTTCATTCGTTCCTGGAGGACTCTGGCTGTTGTGGTTAACCTGGAAGGAACAGTCGTCTTTCTTCTCTCTCTGTAAGTTATTTTTCAAACTGAGTTTCATCAAGAAAGATGTCAATAAGAAATGAAAAAAAAAAAAAAAAAAACCAAAACAAAGAAGAAACAACCAACAAACCAAACGGCTAAGTCAAGGTGCTTTTTTAGGATGGTATGAAATGGTGTAACTAAGGTATTTCTCTCAACCTCTACCACCCCATGTTCTGTGCCTTCTTTAAATAGCAGTGCTGCAGTATTTGAAAATGTAAGTGTACATTTTATTGTATATGCATTGTTACTGTAGATGGGAACAGTCTCTAGAGTGGTGTAGAAGCACATTCCGTTCTTTAACAGGTGTATGTAGATGATCTAAACTGTTGTCTGGTGTGGTACAAGACACCATATATACATGCTAAAAGATACAGAAATGTTTTTTGCGGTTACGTGATAACATGATGTTTCTCTTACAATCGCACTTGCACAGAAGGAACAGCATCAAAATTGCTTGCACATACATCTTAAAGGTGACATGCAAAAGGAAAAATAGGCAGCTTCCTTTTATTTTTCAAATGTGATTAGAAAAGAATAGGAAGAAGGCTTCATTATTAAGATAATAGGGGTTTTGTGTTTGTGGACTTCAGCACTGAAAGCCATATGATGCAGTGTTCTTTTCTTATATACTTCCTGATAGCAAAATCTCAGTAACTGAAAGAAAATAACTTTAGCTGCCGTTTAAACTTAAGGTTTTTTTTCTTCCAGCATCTATTTAACTTCAGTAACTAACTTTTTGAATAAAGCTCTTTGCTAAAGAGTCAACACACCCTTTCAAAGGAAGCATCAGAAGTCAAGGAAAGGTCTTAGAGGCTGTTCATGAAGTGAAAAGCAGAGATGACAGTTCTGATATTTCAAAACTTAGTGCTGTTTGGGACCTTTGGAAAAAATTAACTTTATGTGCAATTTTTTGAAGTGCTTTATGCTTGGGCCTTCAGAGCTGTGCTCAAAGGCCTATCTTACTGTAAGAAAGGATTTTTTTTATTCCATATTTCACACTGCCTCCCTCCCACATTGCTTAAAAATTACACTGCAGAAAATGCTATCAGATTTTTTTATTATGGGGAAGAAAGCATGTTCCTTTCTAAGCTCTTTTCTTTTATAAAAGCACAGAATCACTTTCCTTTAAATTTAAAGGAAAAATGTTACTTCTGGTCAGAGGCAAAAATCTTAAAGCTTCTGGCAAAAGACCTAAAGTTTAAACTAGTTTTGGGAGTCTGAAAGTAACAGAAGAAGATTTGTTTTGTAGGCTCTGTTGGAGTTATAGACCTAGCAAGTGAACAGTGCACATGGGGAGCAAGAGCATGACCTCTGCACAGCCTCTGCCTTCCTGTCTACAGGAGAGAGTTTGGGAAAAAGTGGGAAAATGTGGAGCAGAAGACAACTAGTTAGTGTTACAAAAACATCCTGTGGTTACTTGTAATGTGGTGCCTCCTTAATTCTGAATTCTCGGAAGAGTCCTAATGATACTGTAATTTGTAGTATTGTGTGTATATGTGTGTGTGTATATATGCATATACTCAAAGCAATTGCTTGGTATCTAAATTACATAACTTATGTTCCCTTTCCTTTCAACGTGCTTTGTCTCTGTTTCAATAAGTGAATTCTATACCTGAAGGGTGTTTTGAAAAATTCTTTGTTATACTGAAATGTATTTCAGCCTTATTTCCATAGACAAGTCCAGCCTTGTAGAAGCAAAAAGCCCTAAAGCTGTGTATGTATGTGTGTTTCAGATTCATTCCAGAGTCCCCTCGCTGGCTCTATTCACAAGGCCGGCTGAATGAAGCAGAAGATGCCCTCTACCTCATTGCGAAGAGGAACCGCAAGCAGAAGTGCACTTTTTCATTAAAACTCCCAGCAGAGAGGAGCTCCAGAGAGGCTGGCAGCTTCTTGGATCTGTTCCGATATAAGATTCTCTTGGGACGCACCTTGATCATGATGTTTACCTGGTACTTGAAATTCTTTGTAGGCCCAGCTATGCTACTGTTCCCTCTTTGTCTTTGAGAGAACACGTTGCTGAGAATTGGCTTATCCTGCAGACTGTGCTTAGTTTCAGCCTGTATTATTAGGGACACTGTACCTAAAAAGGATCCTTATATTGTAGTATTTCTGTAGTGCATTTCTAATGTGAAACCATTTTTACGATCTAGTTCTGAGGTGTTTTATCTTTGCATTTCTGTCATTCTTTTTGAGTCTCAAAATAGTTGAGAACTCTCTCTTCCTTTCTGACCTTCAAGGGCTGCTGAGATTAGTCATGCTGTCTTCCTCTTTGGCCCAGTGCTGTGTGTCAGTATGTTCAGTTGCATGGATTATTCTTTGTTTTGTGTGTAAGGAGCCCATTAGCAGGTGGGTGGCCTACCTTGTCTAATGAGTGTTTATTTTCTTAAGAGAAAGTGCTGCCAGTGCTAGCAGTTGCTGTAGTAAGGAGCAGGAATCCATGATGGGAACATGGAGCAGGAACTCCCTCTAGTCACCAGCAGAAATTTAACTCTCCAAAAGTGCCTATTTTGTTGCAGATAGCTCTGCTAGCCCTGAGGCCTTTTGCTGCCACTTTGAAATAAACCTTGTGTATGACATGGTATGCGAGTCCTCTGGCATCACTGTTCATACAGTTGCTTTTATAACGCATATATTTGGGGAAGATGTGTTGATTAAGGAGAAACCGAATAGCATTATTTTGTCAGCAGACAACACAAAGCTGTCTTCCTGTTGCTTTTCCAAATGCTTACTGCAGAATAGTTGATTTTTCTGTTCCTTAAATGACAGTTGCTGATTTCCTGCAGAATGAATTAGTGACCTGTTCCCTTCCTCTCTGTAAAGAAGACAGCCAGTCAGGGTTACAAAAGAAAAGTAAAAAATCAGAATTGGAGGCTGAATAAAACTGGACTAGGGTGTAGAAATTAAAAGAAGGCAAAAGTGTTGTCTGAACTGTTTGAGAAAGGGTTTACACACAATTGGAAAAGTATGGACTAAAGTGACACCTGATAAAAACAAAAAGGACAAAGACATTTCTCAAGTCAAATAATATAATCACGATCATATTTTAACTTTATTCTGGTTTATGCACATTCTTAAGTGTAGTCTTAAGTTTAACTGAGTACTAAGTCAGGAATTGGGTTTGTGCAGAGACAAAATGGTTTCTTTACCTAGAAAGCATCACCCAGTTGTAGAGAAACATTTTAGGCCTATCTTCTGAAACACTAAATATAGTTTATAGTGTATTGTGCCAGACCAGTGCTTTGACATGGCAGGCAAAGCAGCAGCTCTGATTTTACTCTTCTTCTGTCTTTCGCAGGTTTGTGTGCAGCTTGGTTTACTATGGTCTTACCCTTAACGTGGGTGACTTAGGTGGAAGTATTTATGCCAATTTAGCCCTTTCAGGGTTGATAGAAATCCCAGCATACCCAATTTGTATTTACTTGATTAATCAAAAATGGTAAGTATGAAATTTATTAACCTATTCAGGGTTTGTTTTATAATTTTTCTCAAAGATAGGTTTCCTGTATATTGCATTGACTTGCTTAATTTGTTGTGTGGGGCTTCCTGTGTCAGTGTTACTATTTCATTATATTCTCCTGGGAAATGCGTTTTTATTTGAAAGTGCCATTAGTATATCTTTACTTCAAATAACAACAGTTTAACTTGTTCTCAGTAGCTCACTTATTAATGAGCCGTCTAAATTTGGCTCAGAGGTGAGGCTGATCTGCATCAGTCGAACCTAGCTGTGCTGACTCCGTGCTAACACAAGATGGCATTCTTCCCACCTCTGCCTTGTAATCCCCATTCTCACTGTTATGTCAAAGCTATTGAACTAAACTGAAGCTATCGTGGTTTTGTGTAACAGCTGCTGTGTGCACTAGTATGAGAGCAGAGCTGTTGATTCAGATATCTAGCCTTTTTCTGAGCCATGATATTCTGGACAATGTCTTTTACTTTTTGTAGAATTCGCCTCCCAATCTCTTCTCTGCATGTCTCCTGAGGAGCTTTACAAATGTGCACACACAGTGGGAAGCAAATCAAAATCCTAGAAATTGTCAGCCCCTTCATAAAGACTTCTTGATGCTCATTTTGTTAAGAGTGCAGTAGAAGCTTGTTTAAAAACAATGTGAGAGGAAATGTTTGAGAGATGGCATTCAGAATTTCCAACTGCAAATAAAGAGGCAATGTGAATTTAGAGGACTCGTTGCTCTGCAAACTACAGATCTAATGTAGAATAAAGCTTTGTTATCCTTGCACATCAGGTTTGGTCGGAAGCGAACACTGAGTGCGTTTCTGTTCCTGGGAGGACTGGCTTGTCTTATTGTCATGTTTCTTCCTAAAAAGAAAGGTAAATATTTCCTTTTATTTCTGGAGTATGTGATAAGAAGTTGTAAACACATCATCCTACAGCCTAAGAATTTGATGGTTGCCAGTAGATTAGGCTCGTACCACATGTGAGTCTCAATTTTTGAAGCCAGAGAAGCTAACTTACAAAAAGGATAAGCAGCAACCTTCCTAAGACCTTAAGGAAAGCTTGTTAGAAAGGCTTGGATTTGAACTGTTGTCTTTGGATTCTGTCCTTCTGATCACATCAGTCACTCCTTTCCAGTGTTTGACTTATATAATCATAGAATCATCAAGGTTGGAAAAGACCCTTAACATCATTGAGTCCAACTGTTAACCTAGCATTGCCAAGTCCACCACTAAACCATGTCTTCAAGCACCATGTCTACCTGTCCAGGGATGAGGACTCAACTACTGTCCCTGGGCAGCCTGTGCCAGTGCCTGACAACCCTTTCAGTGAAGAAATTTTTCCTAATATCCAACCTAAACCTGCCCTGGTGCAACTGGAGGCCATTTCCTCTTGTCCTATTGCTTGTTACTTGGGAGAAGAGACTGACCCCCACCTGGCTCCAGCCTCCTTTCAGGCAGTTGTAGAGAGCGATAAGGTCTCCCCTCAGCCTCCTCTTCTCCAAGCTAAACAACCCCAGCTCCCTCAGCTGCTCCTCATAGGACTTGTGCTCCAGACCCTTCACCAGCCTTGCTGCCCTTCTCTGGCCACGCTCCAGCACCTCCATGTCCTTCTTGTAGTGAGGGGCCCAAAACTGAACACAGTACTCGAGGTGTGGCCTCACCAGTGCCGAGTACAGGGGGACGATCACTTCCCTGGTCCTGCTGGCCACACTACTCCTGATACAGGCCAGGATGCCATTGGCACTCTTGGCTACCTGGGCACACTGCCGGTTCATGTTCAGCTGGCTGTCAGCCAACACCCCTAGGGCCTTTTCCGCCAGACAGCGCTCCAGCCACTCCTCCCCAAGCCTGTAGCGTTGCATGGGGTTAATACCAAAGAATGATGTTTCTTGGGGTATCTCCATTAGCCAAATGATTGGTCAGTGTAAGTAGTACCCATGCAACTTGTGTGTATCTCTCCAAGTTAGACCAATGTCAAAAGATCCTAAGAATTGAATCTTGTGGCAAGTTTCCATCTTTTCCTCACTGCTCTGTAATGTTCAAGACGGGCGTGACTGTGATATTAGTAATGTGGCCATGTAACTTATAGCTCAGAGCATTCTGAAAATCTTCTGAAGTAAGGGGTCTTTAAGAAATGTGAAATGAAGTGTGTTTTTTTTGTAAAGACGCACTAATGTTCATTTCTTCATTTTCAGACCTTTTTCAAGAATGATAGAAATAAAATTCCACAGTGAGGAATTTTTGCTTTGAAAACTAGGTACATAAATTCATCTCTGCTTGTAAGATTTGTGCATGTATAACACCTGTCATAAGGAGAGAAAATGCTTCAAACATTTGAAGCATGATACAAAAAGATTAAACATTTATGATGAGAGTATGCATAAGTTGCTCTAGATGGCAATGAATGTAATAGGTAAGACTCTTCTAAAGGGATGCAACTGAAGTTTCCAGAAGTATTCCAGGTGCTAGAGCCCAGACACTCGGAGATATTCTCGTTAGGCTGGTACCAGTCATCAAGTAGTGTTTGCATATCAGTCCAAGTATAACATGTGAAAAAGATTTTTTCCGAGGATAGAACTGAGACCCCAGGAAATCAGCTGTGTGCTGAACTGCCAAAGTCAGCCAGGAGCAAAGTACCTTAGCAAGTGAAATGGCTAACTGGCCAGAAGCAAGCACCTGCCCCTACTGAGCGCGATTTGTTCAAAGCAGTAATGATTTATGCTGTAGCCTTCCTTGGTAGGCATTCAGCATGTGTTCTGATGTGCCTGGTATAAACGAATAAGCACTGGCTGTTCTGACAGAACCGAGCTGGATGGGATATTTGGTATAGTTCTTTACAGCACCTTCCTGTCTTTTGTTTTTCTTCTAAAGTAATAATGTTAAAAACATGTTATACTATGAAATTGACACTGAATAGGATTCTCATTACTAAAAAAAACTTGCTCACTTTTGAAAAATGTACCCATTATTCTTTTCTTATGTGTTACTTAAGAAGTAATAACTTACTGACAGAACTAGATTAGTATTTTATTAGTGGTAGACTCAAAATGTTGAGTTTTAGTTTCAGCTTTTACTATGTTTATAGGATTTTTATCTTGCATTTCTAAAATTTGATGTTCTAGTGAAGCCTTAATGCAGGATTTTAATTCTTTAAGGATGTCACTTATTGTAACACTGAGGGCAAGGAAAGGAAAACTCAGTTTCTCTTTTTTCTGATATTGAGCAATACTTCCATTCTGTAGTCTCTGTGACTGTTCAGTCATTTAACTCAGTCTTTTTCTGTTGGATTATATTAAAGAGAATGGAAACAATTCTGGGCTAGTAACAAGTCTGCCATGAATTTAAAAATCCTTTTTTCAGTTATTTTTTGTGTTACATGGAGAGTTTTTTCCTCTTTGTACAAATTTGATTGCACAGATAAAGGTAATAAATCTGTAGACACAGAATATAAATTGTTAGATGACTTCTGCCGTTGCTGCCTAAAAGAAGGCTCCTTGGATTCTCTTGAGTTTTTGAGAGTTCTCCTGAAGATCATCTCTGACAAATACTGTCCTTTAACAGAAAAATGCTTGGCTGTCATAGCAGATTCTTAATAAGATTCCTTTTCACTCCATACTGTTGTGTGACTGAAATGATTACGGAGATGTATTTGAGTGCTCGAAAGCCTTACAAGGGTCACATTTTCTCTACCAGATACTGGAGTGTTTGCTGTGGTGAATAGTCGCTCTCTGTCTTTGCTGGGGAAACTGACAATCAGTGCTGCATTTAACATTGTCTACATCTACACATCGGAACTTTATCCCACAGTGATCAGGTAACACAAGCTAATTTTAAGGTCTTCATTTTCTGGTTCTCTTACCTGATCACCTTTTACTTCTATATTAGTTTTTTCTGTGAACTATACCTTTTCATTTGAGATTTGCAGTTACATATAATGATCATCTGTAGTTTTATATGCTGAATTTCTTCCTTTATCCTCATCTCACTTCCTCTTCCCTCAAATTTGCAGTGTTCTTTTCAGACTAACCATATTCTTTGTGTAACAGTAAAATAGTCCTTTGGCTGCTTGGTATGCTCACAGGTCTCTCCACCAAGGAGGATAACAATAGTATTGCAGATATTTCTTTAATGAGTGATATCTGTAACTTTTTCAGTGCTTTACAAACCAGACAACTCTATTAAACATTCATACTTACTTAACCAGCAATACTGAAGATGACTGGTCAATAAGCTTTGTAAAAGTAACTTGGTGCTTCATAGGCCATATGTAAGCAACAGTAAGGTTTCACTCACTAGAGGCAAAAGTACCCTGTGCTTGTGCTGACAGAGGAGACAAAAGCATCTATCATATGGGTGCAATTTTTAATAGATATTTTAACCAGGTATTATTGTTGATGATCAGCCACCAGTGAAACTATACTGTGGTGTTTTTCATGGGTGGGCAAATCTGCTAATAAATAGGATTTGGGTGAAGGAATTTAGCCAAAGTTTCAGGCAGAGACAAGGTGCATTAACTGAAATAGCACTTTTTTTGCCTCTCTGTGTGCATGTATGTTAGAATTCTGAATGTGCAGGGGGGTTTTGCTTCTCTTGAAGCACCAAGCATGTTTTAATTCCTGTCTTGGGATGCTTTCAGTTGCTTTTGACTTTTCTTTGCCAGTTGATGTGGTCAGGGTCATGACTGAGATTTTTTTTCCTTGCTCAATGGCACTTTTCAGAAGTCATAACTTCTCTATGCAAATGTCACTGATTAATGGTTTTTGTTTTCTTAGGAATGTTGGAATGGGTGCCTGCTCCATGTTTTCCCGTGTTGGTGGAATCATTGCTCCTTTCGTCCCTTCATTGGTTTGTCTGAACTGCTCACTGTTATGTATATTTTTGTTTTGTGGCTCTGATGTATCAGAGGCTTAGAAGTGGGAATATTTTGGATAAATTATGCATATGAACTAAGATATGTAAATTGCATGTCTTAACAGTATTGTGGTAGGCCAAAGGCATTACGATATAATCTGTGTGATTGGACAAAAACTCAACATTATTTATTTCAGAAGGTGTTTTAGCCCTGTAAGAATTTTGGGACTTAGCTAGTGGACTTTGGCAATACAGTAGTTTCAAAATACCAAGATGGTGATACCCAATTTTAAACCCAAAGCAAGTAAGAGAAAAAAAAAACCCACATAGTTAAAAGATGTACAGCATCAAGATAAAGCATATGGGCTCAATAACTCATATTTCTGAGAATAAATTAGTTTTATTGTCAGTGCACTTCGTTGAATATCCATGGATTATAATTATCAGGAAAGTGGTTTATCTTTCAATGAATGAAGATGATGTGGAGACTTGATATACTGGCAAGGCTTTTGAGCACAAACTTCACAGCAGTCTGTCAAGGCAAAGAAAAATTCTGAAGAATGAAACATAGGGATGATACCGTTATTTTCCTCTGTGTTCATAATCTTATGTGTATGCAGGTAAAAGTGTGTGCCATTTTTTCACACAAACTGAGGTCAAGTGACAATTCCTTTAATGTGACAGACTTCATCCGGCATAACTGTCCTCTCTGCCATTTGCCATCTTGTTACGTCAGCAGAGGGCTGGCAAAAGGGTAGATGAACACAGTGAGCCTTTTAATCTGCAGAATGAAACATTGGGTAGGTGAGAGTGCAAGCACCTCCGGGGTACAACAGGCAAAGCCAAGGCTGGTGCAAATCTCCCAGGTGGATTTAATAGGCAGCTTTTATGTGGCAGTTGGGGCGTCCATTATGTTGTATCTAGCAGAGATTTTGCACTGCAGGAGACTCAAATCTTGGATCATCATGTTTGAGAAGGTCCTATGAAAGTGAAAATAGCTCTGTTTAAATAACAAATGAACATTGATTTAAGGAAAGAATTAAGTATTTTTGTGTTTTGGAATCTTGTCAACTATTTTTATGCATTTTTCAGTATCTTTTGTCAGGGGATCTTATAAAAAGAGTGGGAATGGGAAAGTTAATTGCTGCAATAAGAGATTAAATGTTGCTGTTGTATTTGATCACAGCCTGTTATTTTCTCAATTTAGAATTGCTCTTTACTATACAAAGTGAGTTTTTGAAACAGCTAAACTCTTCCTTTTTTTTTTTTTTCCAAATGAGCATGCTTTACTGGTCGTCTGAAAGTGAATGTACACATTTTGGAGCTATATTTTAGATGACTCGTATTTTTGCACACACCTTTCCCCAGTGTATTTTTGCTTGTAACAAACCATGTTAAAACAGGGACAGGCATCAAAGGAGGAGTATAAACATTGCTTAGGCTGTCAGAGGTGATGACAGGAAGGCCAAAGCTCAGTTGAAGCTAAGACTAGCAAGGAGTATAAATAGGGATTCCATCAGCTAAAGGAAATTTAGATAACATGTGTTTAACCTGTTGTTGAATGGGATGGACATCCTGTTGGTGGATGAGATGGAATAAGCTGAAATACTTAACACTTTTGCTTTAGCCTTCATAGGCAAAGGCTGATGCTAAGACTCTGTGCATATCAGCACAGTTGAGGAAGCAGAGGTCCAGCAAACAGTGGAGGAGCAATAGGTTCAAAACACTTAAAGCTGAAAGCTTTCCATTCCATGGGATAGGATTCCCTAAGAGGTGGTGGAAGAGCTGGCTGTGGTAGTGAGGCAAGTGTCCATCATCTGTGACAAACCATTGTTGGTAGAGAAGGGTCACTGATAACTATGGGAAAAAAAAGCTAATGCTATATGCATCTTTAAGATGAGAAAGTGGATCCAGGGAGTTAGAGGCTGAGCAGCTCAAACTCAGTCTCTGGGAAGATCATGGGACATGACCTCCGAGTCTTTTTCTGAGCATGTGAAAGCCAAGAAGGCAATCGGGATCAGTGAACATGGATTTACTAAGGACAATTCATTCTCAGCCAGTTTGATTGGATAGTCAGCCATTTCATTACAGAAGGTAACATGCATGAGGAAAGGGAGGAGAGCAGGAAAGGCTTTTGTAAGGCTTTTGACACTGTCCCACAGCATTCTTGTTTGGAAGCTGAGGAAGTGTGTCCTGGATGAAAGGAATATTAGATTTGAATGTTGCATGGACCACCAGGCTCAAAGAGATAGTGACAGGCTCAGTATTTGGTGGCTGGTGACAAGTGGAAGATAAGACAGAATACATCCTCCTCTGATTTTTAGAGGATGCAAAATAAGGAGGAGTGATTGACACACCAAATGGTAGATCTTGAGTCCAGTGGGACCTTTTGGACCAACAGAAATCTGTGAAGGCCAACAAGAATGAAAATCTGTTTCTGACGTGGGCTAATTACATGGTCAGTACAGGCTGGGAACCAACTGGCTGAGTAGCAGCCTTGCTGGAAGAGATGTGCATATGATAATGGATGACAAGTTAAATGAGAGCTAGCAGTGTCCTCTCATCACAAACAGGCAAACTTCACAGTGAGTTACATCAGGCCAAATTCAGTATGTGGCCCACAGATTAAGCTCTCCCAGTTCTAGAGGGATGTTGAAAAATCTGGGGAGGGTCCAGTGCAGGGTAACTGAGATGGTCAGGGGCCTAGAGCACAGGCTTCAGATGAAAGCTTGAGGGAATTTTGATCTTCCCAGCAGTGTGGAACAGTTCAGCAG